ACAGTCAAACCACCACTAACACCACAAAAAAAATCCCTCAGATCGCCACTACAATGCTTAGATTCGAAGGCACAAAGGCGATCTTCGAGCAAAGTCACTGTAAAAATTGCAGATCGAACCGCTCACCACCACTAGCGTCGTCGCCACTAACACCTCCATAGTCAAACCACCACTAACACCACAAAAAACATCACTCAGATCGCCACTACAACACTCAGATTCGAAGGCACAAAGGCGATCTTCGAGCAAAGTCACCGTAATCTGTTGTTATGCTGCAATCGAATGCATAAAGGTGCCGAAGGAACAAAGGAGATCGCCGAATGCCGACGTCTTGCTGCAGTCGCCGTCGTCTGGCGTCTCCAGTGCGGCATCCCCTCCGGTTGTGATCTGGTAGTAAAGAAGAAGAGAGAGGGAAGGGGGTGTAGAGGGAGGGAAGGGGAAGTACCGAAATAATTACAGGTCTTAGGGAGGTGGGGCTGGGGGCAATTGGGGTTTTAATAAAATGAATTAAGGTTTTAATATGTGGGGGGTTTAATTTTTGATGGAAACCTGATTAATGCATTATTAAACTTTAAACTTGGTTTTAGAATTATGTTTTTTAAACGCCTGATTGTTTGTAATTTCCTCAAAATTGATTTCCAAAAGGGTTCTGACCGTGTAATGAAGTTGTTGGTCTGCCTTGAAAAGTGTCCATATGCATGTGTGGGCTTCTCTTTTGCGTTTGCATGGGCTTTGTCTTCTACACTCAATTTTTTGAAAACTCTACCTTGCGCACGCACATGTTAACTATGGGATTCATGCAATTTTAATCATTTGTCTTTCATTTTTGTCCAATTGACTCCCCACATTCTTCAATCATAAAAATGCAATCTGAAGTAGCTTTTAAATATTTGCATTTTCATCATTGAACTTTTCCTTTTTTTTTATAGATTTTTTTCTTTCTTCTAATTTCACTTCCAAATATCAAGTTTCACCTAACAAACAATATAAACAACAGAATAAGCTATAGAAAATCAAAGCTACTACTTAATATCTTAATTTAAAAGCTTAAATAAGTGTATAAAATGTACTTATTAAACACCTCCAAGCTCGAACACTTGTTTGTCCTCAAATAAAATTATAATATACTCAACAAGTAAAAGTTTAACCAGAAAATATGTATTTTGCGATTTGATAATGTCAAAGAATATCTGTCTACACCTTTTACATCATATCTTTCTTCCAAAGGCATTATTCATCAAAATCTTTTGTATACACTCCACAACAAAATGGAGTTGCAGAAAGTAAAAATCGTCATTTGTTAGAGGTTACTTATGCTCTCCTTTGTCATATGCATGTCACTAAACATTTTTGGAGTGATGCTATCCTCACAGCATGCTATCTTCCATTTTGGGTGGTGCGTCCCCTTTTTGAACTGTGTTTTCCTTCTCTCCACAGTACTCTTTACCTCTCAAGATTTTTGGGTGTATTTGTTATGTTCATCACACTGGTCCGGGTCATGATAAACTTGACTCTGGCTCTATGAAATGTGTTTTCCTTAGTTATTCCCAAACACGAAAAGGGTAACGTTGTTACAATCCCTCTCTACAACGCTACTTCGTATATGCAAATGTCACTTTCGACGAGTCCACGCCCTACTTTCCTGATCATAGTATGTCACCAGAATCCACAAGGTATCTTGTTCGCTTACCCGTTCCATATCTACCAGTAGGTATTTTTCCTGATCCAGACTTGTCCCAATCTACTATTCTGAGGTTGTCCCTCTCTCATGAGAATCCATCTCTTCCTATAAAGGTTTATACTCGACGATCTAAGCCACTAATGCTTGTGGCCACATCCGTCACCACGTCGTTTGTAGATCTTGAATCCGTTACCTCTTCTGATCTTGAGTCATTGCTCATTGCCCTCCGTAAAGATAAATGTACTTGTGTAAATAAACATCCTGTAAGTCACTATGTCATTTTTGATTCACTGTCGCCTACATTTTCCTATTTCACATGCCAGATCTCTAGTTTTTGTGTACCCAAAACAGTAACACAAGCTTTATCTGATCTTGAGTGCCTAAAGGCTATGGAATTAAAAATGGCAGCATTGTATGAGAATAAGACTTGGGAACTTGTTCCTACACCTCCCTAGATACATCTTGTTGGCAATAGATGGGTTTTTGTTTCGAAATTCATTCTTGATGGGACTGTTAAGCGTTTGAAAGTCCGATTGGTTACTAAAGGTTACACACAAACTAATGGTATTGCTTATGATGAGACATTTTCTCCTATTGCTAAGATCTCTGCAATTCGTGTTTTGATTCCTATTGCTGCTAATCTTGATTGGCCACTATTTCAATTGGATATTAAGAATGCACTCTTTTATGGTGACTTGCATGAAGAGGTTCATATGGAGCAATCATCAGGATTTGTTGCTTAGGAGGAGTACCAGAACTATGTTTGGAAGTTGAAAAATGCTTTATATGGGTTAAAACAATCACCAAGGGCATGGTTTGGAGAGTTTTCTGAGATTGTTCTTGAATTTAGTCTTCAAAGGTGTCAGACAGATCATTCAGTATTTTATTTGCAAACTGGTGTAGGTTACACTATCCTTGTCGTTTATGTGGATGATATTGTAATCACTGGTAATGACGTAGAAGGAATTGCTAGATTGAAACAGTTTCTACAACAACATTTACAGACCAAATATCTGGGCAAACTTCGATATTTCTTGGGTATTGAAGTCGCTGGGTCTCAAGCAGGTGTCCACTTATCTCAAAGAAAGTATGTACTTGACCTATTAGATGAGATATGATTTCTTGGAACTCATCCAGTTGATATTCACATGGATCCTAATACGGATCTTTTGAAAGAGGAAGGAGAATTGTTTGGAGAATCAAGTAAATATCGTCGTTTGGTTGGAAAATTGAATTATCTTACTATCATGCAACTAGATATTTCTTGCGGTTAGTGTTATTAGTCAGTTATTGGATGCTCCTTGAGTTTCTCATTGGAATGCTGCTATACGGGTTATTCGGTATTTAAAAAAGGCTCTAGGCCTTGGGTTAGTGTACAAACCAAATGGACACATTTTAGAGTAAAAGGGTTTACAGATGCAGATTGGGGCAGGATCTCCTTCAAATAGACGATCTACTACTGGTTTCCGTACATTTCTTGGTAGTAATCTTGCGTCTTGAAAAAGTAAAAAACAAACCGTAGTAACAAAGTCAAGTACAAAAGCAGAATATAGAGCAATGGCTCATACTACTAATGAGTTGACATGGTTGCAACACTTCCTTTAAGAAATCAATCTTTCACCGTCTACTCCCATTCCGATGTTTTGCGATAATCAAATTGCTCTACAAATTGCATCCAATCCAGTTTTTTATGAGAGGACCAAACACATTGAAGTTAATTGTCACTTTGTTCTAGATAAGATAGTGAGTGGTGATATATGCACACCATTTGTGAAGACCGAAGACCAACTTCTTGATGTAATTATGAAGTCACTGAATGGTAATCAATTGAGATTTCTTTGTTTCAAGCTAGGCCTATATGATATATATGCTCCAGCTTGTGGGGAGTGATAAGGAAAGAAATTACAAATAATAATATATATTAGGCAATAAGGAATCACGTATATTGGGTTTCCATAATTGTATCTTTTTATGTACTCTATATGATGAAAGCATGAGAGGAAGGTGATTATTCTCTTCTCTCGAAGTTAATACTTTTCCTCAACAGCAAGGCATTTTGGATGATGTAAAATATGATATTTGAGGCCATATAGAACAATTTAATTGGGAGATTTGTACTATTCCGCGAGTTCATTGATAGCTTCTTAAAATGAGTTTGGGTGTACTTTATGAAAACTAAAGATGAATGTCAGATATTTTTCTCGAATGGAAGAAGGTAAGAGACTGAAAATGCAGAAAAATGGCTCGGAATGGATAATGGCGGTGAATATAGTAGTAGCCCACTTTAAGATATATTAATAGAGAATTGTGCATAACTTCACAATAAGAGGTTAGTCCAACTAAATGGTCTTCTTATTTCATACAAGGCACTCTCATAACAATTTCATAGGGGTTACACTAATAATCAACAATTTTGTGTTTGTATGTGGGATGTTAGTCCAACTTAATAGTCTCCTTATTTCATACAGGCAATCCTTCACTCTAAGCAAGCTGTCTCACTAACTTGCAAATACATTTTTTCCACAACCAGCTTAGAACTTCATTTTTTACCCCAATTTTTCTCCTTTGTTATTATTTTTTTTTCCCATTCAAAGATCTAATGAGAGAGAGAATAGAAAATTTTAATTCAATAGGACTTCATCTAAGATTTGATCCATGAATCTTCTGTCAATGACTTCATTTATAATCAAACCTCAAAGTACATCAACCCTCGTATAAGGAAAGAGCCAGACAGGACTACAAATTTCTTTTCCACAAGTGCCATGGATGACTCTTATAACAGATTCTCATTTTTTTAAAATTTCCGAGAACGTATACCGACTAATAACGGATGAACAGTTATAATTCATTAGTAGGAGCTGACCTTCGCCAAATTCAAGATTACACCTTTTAAGTCGACAAATATTAGTATCTAGCTTAAAGCAAGAATAGCACATAACAAAGTTGTGGATAAATTCCCAAGAGAAAACATTTAGGATGCTTGAACAAATTCATTTAAGTTTCAAAGACATGAATCTTAAACAGCTTGCATGATAAAATCACATGACAGCTAATTCCAAGTATTGTAAGGCACAATCTAACTTTCTTGGGGTCATCTGGCATAACAGTAATAGAGCATATATCCCAGCAAAAGGAGGCTATAACTAATACTTAACAAGAATGCAAAGAATGATTTCGTAATTTACTTACCATGTAGTGAAATTACTTCGAATGGATGGAATGTCAACTCATTGACCTATTTAGATCCACTTTAACTGTTCAGGGTAAATGAAACAGCTATATTATATAAATATCACCAACATCTGCGCTATTTATGCAGCATGAAGTCAGTCATTGAACGATACAAGAAAGCCACCGAGGAGCAGCAACAATTGAGCAGTTCAACTTCGGAAGTCAAGGTAATCTCTGTTACCCAACTCCCAGTGTGTTTTACCTTGAAATAAAGATGGATGTATGGAAAATGTCTTTCGTTGCATTTTTCTCTATATAAATTTCATAGAAAACAAAAGAATTTCTGTGCAATCGAAGGAGATAACATGCTTCTAGACATGGAAGTACCTAGAATCTAAATCAAACAACTTGAAACAAAAGATTCAAACATACCAACACTAAGCCTGAAGGCACAATAACAGTTTATATTTTACATAATGTTTAGAGTCTCATCCTCTTACAGGATGAGAAAATTTTGCTTTCCGTTATCTATCCCATAGAACTTTATAATAGTTCACAGATATTGATGCAATAGACCATCTTCAAATGAAGCTTGAATATGTGAACAGTCCTTTCTGCAAATATCACAAAAAATCTTGGTTACTGAAAAAGAAGAACAAAGACAAATAAAGGTATACACATAACACAGATTAACTCAAGTTTTACATTCTGCAGTATTACTGACTTATCGCATAGTGTAATAATTTATGATGCTTTTAAGTACCCTGATTTTTCTTCCGAAGGCCTAAAGAATTAATTTCTAGGGCACAGAATCTTCTTTATGATGCCCTGATGAAATAATATTGAAAGCACCTTGCAAAGAAAAGACTGATTCCTTACCATTGACTTAGGATGGTCTTGTAGACCACACAAGATGTGCGAGTAAGATGGGACTGCCTATGATGCTTCATGGAGCCAGGGGAAGTATGTAACAACCAAGTATGATCTTAGGATCAGTATGATAGAATTAAAGGTCTCGAATTGCCTGCTAGATGACTGATGTAAATATTTGATCTATCTCACTACAATTTATTCTCCTCCAAATAGTGCTGAAGAAGTTGTAAAGATGAAACTACAAGGATGGTTAAAAAAATCAATTAAATGAATGAAGAATGTTAGAAGGAGCAATTCAAGGTTATATATAACGCATAAGATTAGAGCAGGTTGGATGAAATGGAGAAGTACTAGAGTGATTGCTCGATAAGAAAATTCCTGTAATCTTAAAATGTCAGCTCTATAGAACAATGATCATACCTTTTATGCTTTATATAGGACTGAGTGTTGCATAGGACGACATATCCATAAGATGAACCTATCTAAAATGAGAATTATAAGATGGATGTTTGCTCATATTAAAAATGATATGATAAGAATAAGGATCAAGTAATAAGACGAGAAGAACAGATTTCATGAAAACTCCTCCAAGTTGTTTAGCAGAAGATGCAGATGAGACGAATTATAAAGGTCAAGAATTCAATGAAACCTGGTACAACCTGTCCAGGCAATCAATAAGTCACTCAAAATTTCTCATCTCCAATGCTGAGTTGTGACAACTTTGTTGAAGAACATTAATGGAACAGGTAATGCAAAAAATAGAACTGATTTGAGTGAAATGCAAAAAATAAATTTTTTTTTTTTTTTTGAAAAAATAAAAAAATAAAAAAAAATAAACCTAGGTTATAGATATTGTTAGAAGTGAAACTCGCACAAATGCAAGTAGGATTTGAGTGGCTCTATGACGACAAGCTAGGAGAACCAATTAACAGGAACTCAAGAGCTCAAGATCCAAAAGTGTAATGTCAGCATCACAAAGGAAGCAGACAATTATAGATTTAATTGGTGTATTGTTTCAAAGAAGAATTATAAGAATGACTAAATACAAGTAATAGCAATCACGCGAAAAGTTGAATAAGTATTGATTGACATGTAAATGACTCCAAGAGCATTAAATTGCATGAAGACTGGAAATATCTATGGAAGACATGATTATTTCTGGGATTAAACTTTCACTAGATAACCAAGTATGAGAAATTCCCTAGAAAAGCATACTACCAGTAAAGAAAAAACAAGATCGTTTAAGCAAGAGAAAGAAAAGAAAGTAAAAATACGTAATGGTATAGGTACTTCATAACACATTTAAAGAAGCACGTGAACTCTCATACAAGTAGTAGGCACCAGCAGCAGTAAATTTTTGAGTTTATTGGACATCAGTTAAAAGTCCTGTGGGAGTTCTTGTCCAATAACTTTCCAGAGTGATAACATCAAACAAGCAGATAGTTAATCATTTGTGGTCTTGAGATATTACATTAACCCGAAAGTAATATAAGCTAGAAAACTGCTATTAATAAATGGGTAAGGGACAATGCCAACCATCCACTACACTATTGTGTAGGAGACCAAAAATTCCTATCCCAGCAGCAGTAATTACATTAAAGAAAACCTAGAAAGTTGCTCCCTGTATAATACAAATGGAATAGGCATGCTTGGGGTCGTTTCTTTGCTTAATTTCAAGGGTCTTTCAGCTTTATAGGAAGAACTTAAGTAAAATCAACCATCTATCCCTCATGTCCTGACCCTAAAAATAATAACTCCAGTTACGTTTGTCTCAGTTTCTATGTAGTTCAATCTAGTTTAGAAGTGTACTTTTTTAACATATATGGTAAAAACAAGAAGTTGCATTTCCTTGTATAAAAATAGTTCCATATTTTTATAGTATAATGGTACTTACAAAATATTTTAAGTAAGACTGATAAAAGAAGCTACTCAAATACCTAATCTAATCTGATAAAAGTCTCTGATAGTCTAATCACACTATCTTCCTCCCCGTGATCACTCTCTCCCTCCTGCATAAAAAAATAGTACCATATTTTTATAGTATAATGGTACTTATAAAAGTGAGAATATTTTTAAGTAAGACTGATAAAAGAAGCCACTCAAATACCTAATCGAATCTGATAAAAGTCTCTGATAGTCTAATCACAATTATCTTCCTCCCCGTGATCACTCTCTCCCTCCTGTATAAAAAAATAGTTCCATATTTTTATAGTATTATGGTACTTATAAAAGTGAGAACATTTTAAGTAAGATTGATAAAAGAAGCCACTCAAATACCTAATCTAATCTGATAAAAGTCGCTGATAGTCTAATCACAATTATCTTCCTCCCTGTGATCACACTCTCTCTCCTGTCAGTCATCTTTTCTCACAGTGGCAGACCATCCACTGACTAACCAAAATTAGAGGAAGAAGAAAACATGAAGAAGAATAAAGAGAGAAGGCTGTTGGTATAGCAAGAACCAAGAAGAGGAGATAAGGAAAAGATACAAAAGGAAACGAGAATAATGAATTTTAAAAAAAAAAAAAAAAAAAAAAAAAAAGAAAAAAAAAAAAAAAAAAAAAAAAAAAAAAAAAAAAAAAAAAAAAAAAAAAAAAGAAAGAAAGAAAGAAAGAAAGAAAGAAAAAGCATTATTCTAAAAACCAAGAACCATCATGTAATTCTTAAGTAGACTGCCTAAGCCCTCAATCATCTCTGAAGAAGACTACCACGAAAATTGATAAGATTAGAATTATTTAAATAATAACTTCAAGCTAAGGCAAATAGTTAACTTATAGGTGCATTGATGCCCTGCTCTCCATGATATTTAGAATGGTTGCAAAAGAGATTGCAGTGAAGAGAACTGCATTAATTGGAAAAGTCAAGACCAGTCACACATTTCTTAAGTAGACCACCTACGCTCTCAACATAAGAGATGATTCATTAAAACAGATTAGTACCATATTTTGCATCAAGAAGTACCAAGAACTAATATACACTCTCAAACCTCTCCATTATTGGGTGATTATAATTGCATTTTAGAGCTCAGCTCCATACGTAACTACTTATGAACATGAATTTTCCGTGAGATCTCAAATGAAAATCTAGCTTCCTTAAATGATATTGATTGCAAATCCTGTAACTCACCATTCTACATGAGGGAACTTTTCAAATATTATATGAAAAATGTATATCTTGTTTGGTAAGGTGGATTATAGAGTATGGGATAATTTAAAGAATAAAAAGATTGTGCTGTACAGTTCTTTCAAAAACAGCACATAAACATGCCTTTAGGTTGACTATGAAGGTCTGCAACAAGGATTAAATTTTTTGGGGCCGACTTTTTGCAGGCATTATTATTCAAGTCAACTACAATTTGATGATATATGCTCAAACACCCTAACTCCTTTCGGTACCTTATGTTGTCTAAGAAAGAAGTCGCAAGTCTAGAACAAGGTCAAAACAAATGATAAGCATCCATCGTAGGATTGGAAGCACCTGAATCAATAATCCAAGGTGTTCTTATGATTTGATGTGACATTTAATGCTTTCAGGAAACTACCTTTGTGAGCCAGTGAGCTCGAAGAGCCGTATGTAGAAGACTAGCTTGATGTCTGAGGTTGGAGAAGATTTGATATAGTTGTTCTCATTGCTTGGGATTAAATGCTCCATTTTTTTTGCTCTTTGGATTTTCTAGTTTGATTGACCAAAACTTGATAGCCACGATTTTTAATATTTTGTGTTGATTTCAAGTTGATGGGTTTGCCATGTAAATCCCAACATGTGTCTTCTTTATGTCCTCGTTTACCGCAGTATTCGCATCGGGTCGTCCTTTTTGTTGTTTTTGGTCCAACCCATTCGTTGTGCCTTTTGATGATAAACCTGTAAGCCTAACATTTTTTGTACGCCCAAATTGAGATAACATTGTTTGCCCAAATTGTGAGGACCTAGGCCCAAAGTTGGAGATACCATTCTGTCCAATTTGAGAATACCCAATATTTGACCCAACACCAATTGGCCCAACAATAAAATATTCAGCTTGTCCAAATTGAATAGTCCAGCATTCGGCCAAAATTAATGAGGCGACGCAGCTCCAATTCCTTTACCCAGAAGTGCCAACATCTCCAAGTCTCCTATAGCGGTTGCTCCATCCTTCATCATTACTTTTTGTCAGCTTTCCTCCCTTCTCACTTTGGCAAACACTTTTTGTACGCCCAAATTGAGATAACATTGTTTGCCCAAATTGTGAGGACCCAGGCCCAAAGTTGGAGATACCATTCTGTCCAATTTGAGAATACCCAATATTTGACCCAACACCAATTGGCCCAACAATAAAATATTCAGCTTGTCCAAATTGAATAGTCCAGCATTCGGC